GATCTGCAGACTTAATAAGCATACTCTCTATGCCAGTATCTAAATTGTTGAAGATATTGAACAGAACCAATCCCAAAACAGACCCCCGAGGAACCCCACTTGTTATGCCCTTCAGCATGATTGTGAACTATTAATAAGTACTCTTTGAGAACGGTTATCCAGCCCCATCTAGGTTGTATTTCCCTAGTTTATTGATAAGATAAGAAGGTCATGTGAGACCATGTCAGATGCTTTACTAAAGTCTAGGTATACCACACCCACTGCTTGTCTCTTATCCACAAGGCTTGATATCCTATCAAAGAAAGCTATCAGATAGGCTTAACATGATTTGTTCTTTACAAATCAATGCTAGCTGTTACCTATCCCCTTATTATCTTCCAGATGGATTCTTTAATTATGATATGAATGGAGATGGCCTATCTCTTAGAGCTGGAAGGGACCTTGAAAGGTCATCGGGTCCAATCCCCTGCCTTCACAGCAGGACCACGTACCATCTGTAACAGATTTCTGCCCCTAATCCCTAAATGGCCTCTGCAAGGATTGAACTCATAAACCTGGGTTTAGCAAGCCAATGCTCACACCACTGAGCTATCCCTCCCCCAATTACTTGCGCCATTATCTTCCCTGGCACAGAAGTTAAACTCAAGGGTCTGTAGTTTCCTGGGTTGTTCTTATTTCCCTTTTTATAGATGGGCAATATATTTGTCCTTTTCCAGATGTAGAAAGTTAAATAGGCAAACATGCTAATCTTTTGACTGAGCTGCACTGCTGTGGTAGGCCAAGATTTAATTTCCAGTATTAAACATAGTCCTTAATGTCTACATGAGGCTTTTTTACACTGCTGTAAGTTCATCCATGCAAATCCTCTGGAGAAATGGTTCCCAACCTTTTTTGTACTGCAGACTAGCAAACCCATTCACAAACTTTTGGTGGACCAGTAACCTTTTATGTGCATATTTGCAAATTCATATAATGAATATGCACATAAAAGGTTACTGGTCTACCAAAACCCCTGGCCCCCAGAGCCTCTGCGAATAGCCAGCTTCAGCTCTGGCAGTTGCCATATGGCGGGGGGCTGCCACAGCTGAAACCGGCTGTTTGCAGTTGCTCTGCGGGCCAGAGCTGGGGTATACCCTGGCCCCCTGAGCCCTTCAGTGGGCTAACCCTACAGCTCCCCACCTCTCCACTACCCCCCAGTGCCAGCCACTGACCCCAGAGTTCCTGCACCAGGCCCTCCCAGTGTCAGCCCTCCATCCCAATGCCTCCATGCCAGCCTCCCACCCCTTAGTGCCCC